CAGCACACACACTAAAACCATGATGAACTATCTGCTTATAGAAAATATTCGTTTCTCTCCGACTAACATTGAAATGACTGGTATTATTATTATTATTATTATTATTATTATTATTATTATTATTATTATTATTATTATTATTTACTACGTCATTTATTCACTATCTCCTATTTCTACTTTTTGTATCCGTTTCGACTCAGACAGCAGCTCGCCTATGGTGAAAATTCAGCTTTATCTAAACGTTCTCGAGTCACTGCCTGGTTGAAAATTGTATGTTACTACTGAATATGAGTACTGAAGCAGTTTTTCTGAAACCACGTGCACCATTCAAACTGACCGCCTTCAACGTTCGCACACTTATGCAGGTCGGACAACAGATAGGGCTGGCTATGTCTTTGGAAAGTCTTAATATTGATGTGTGTTGTCTATCCGAGACCCGTATTCAAGACTCTGGTGAAGTACTACAAGTTCGCTCTCCATCTGTCGCTTCAAAAAGCTTGTTTTACGTGCGTTTATCCGGGGACCCTGTGGCATCTTCGTCTGGTCTTGCTGGCGTTGGTGTCGCACTAAGCGCAAGAGCTGAGGCAGCACTAGTCGACTGGATCCCCATTAACAGTCGGTTATGTGCTGTTAGATTAGAAAGTTCCATCAAAGTGAGAAGAAATCGGCGTGAGAAACGATGTCTTTTCGTCATCTCCGCCTATGCCCCGACAGATTGCAGCTCGGATGCAATCAAGGACGAGTTCTACCACCAGCTAACTGTCCTCCAGAAAGTGCGTTCGACAGATATTGTAGTACTAGCTGGAGACTTGAATGCTCAGGTCGGGCGTCTAGGCACAGAAGAGAGTCGTTTAGGTGGCCGATGGGGACTCGTTGGTCGCAGGACAGAAAACATGGAACGTCTACTGCAAGTGTGCACAGACCACAACCTGTTTCTGGCTAGCACTAACTTTCGGCACAGTCATCGCGATGTGCCACCTGGCGTCCTCCTTCTGCATCTCAAGCCTGGACTCAGATTGATCACATAGCGATCAGCTACCGCTGGCGCGGTTGTGTACAAGACTGTCGCTCCTTTTGGAGTACCTATCTGGAATCTGATCATGCTCTGGTCTGCGCCAATCTTACCTTACTTTTCAGTGGACAACGAAGTGACCTCCACCACAGGATTGATGTTAGCAAGCTGGCTGCACCTTCTGTTGCTAGTAAGTATCGAACCGAGCTAGCTTCTAGGCTAGCTACCATTCCACCGAAAAGTATAGATGAGCATTGGTTGCAATTGCATGACGCCATGAAAATGGCGGGTCAAGTCAGTTGTGGGTTTGCGAAACGTCCCGCTTAGAAGCACTGAGTTTCTTCGGGTTCCTTACAACTGATTGAAGCCCGTCGGTCTTCTCCGGGTGACCGTGAGTTTGACCACAGACGAAGGATGTTACGTAATGAAATCGGACAAAGCTTGCGTAAGGACCGAGAAGCCTGGTGGTCGGAGCGTGCCAGTGAGTTGGAAGCAGCTGCTGCATCTGGTAACTACTGGAAGCTCTTCCAACTCATCCGAGCCATTGGCAGCAAGAAGTCTGGTGTGAGTGAAACAATCTGCGAGGATGACGGAACGCCAATCACTAACATCCATCGACGTCTTGGACGATGGGCAGAATTCTTTGAAGGGCAGTTCAACTGGCCTGCTGCTCCGGCAACATCGGTCAGACTGTCCTGCCCTCCATGGCCGGTGACGACTGATCCACCAAATGAGGCGGAAGTACGCAAGGAACTCCAACTCTTGAAACGTTACAAATCACCGGGCCCAGACGACTTACCTCCGGCTCTTTTTAAAGATGGTGGTGACTTTCTGACTAAGGGACTGACGACGTTGTTTACAAAGATCTGGGAACTAGAGAGTGTACCAACGTCATGGAATGAGTCGATAGTTGTCCCTATCTTTAAAAAGGGTTCACGTCGTTCCTGTAACAACTATCGGGAGATAAGTCTACTTCCGATTGCGCCCAAACTATTGGCTTCCGTCATACTTCGTAGGTTGTTCAGAACCCGAGAAGGATTGACTCGCGAGGAGCAGGCTGAGTTTCGTTCTGGTCGAGGATGTATTGATCATATCTTCACCCTCCGCCAAGTGTTAGAACACCGCCATACTTATCGAAGGCCAACAATCGTAGTGTTTCTTGACAGTAGGGCTGCCTTCGATTCGTTGGACAGAACTGTTCTCTGGGATTGTCTATTGAAGAAGGGTGTGCCTGAGAAGTTTATTAACATCTTAAAGGCCCTATACACAAACACCTCAGACAGAGTGAAGGCATACAACCACCTTTCTCCATTATTCCATTCGAGCAGTGGGGTTAGGCAGGGTTGCCCAATCTCACCATTCCTCTTCAACTTTGCCATCGATGACATTCTGGAAACAGCTCTGACGGATGTAAGTAATGGTGGTGTAGATCTGTTGCCTGGAGAAAGACTTCTCGACCTTGAGTATGCGGGTGATATTGTCTTACTGTGCGAGAATGCCCAAGCTATGCAATCCGCACTTAATCAGTTGGCAATCAGTGTCCGTAGGTATGGAATGTGCTTCTCACCTTCGAAGTGCAAAGTACTTCTACAAGACTGGCAGGATTCTAATCCTGTACTCACTCTGGATGGTGAGCAGATAGAAGTAGTCGAGACGTTCGTGTATCTAGGTAGCTGCATAAGTGCTGGTGGTGGTGTGAGTGATGAGATCAATGCACGTATAGTGAAAGCCAGAGCGACTTATGCCAATCTGGGCTGTAAAAGGTCGGATCTACAACGCGACGGTGAGAGCAGTTTTGCTCTATGCTTGTGAAACCTGGCCTCTCCGAGTTGAGGATGCAAGACGACTCTCTGTGTTCGATCATCGTTGTCTCCGAAGGATTGCTGGCATCCAGTGGCAACACCATGTCAGTAATGCAGAGGTTCGGCATCGAGTGTTCGGTCACAGAGACGATAATGAAATTGGTGTCACCATCTTGAAACACCGACTTCGGTGGCATGGACATGTTCTCCGAATGTCGTCCCAGAGAATTCCACGTCGTGCATTATTTGCCGACTCTGGAACTGGTTGGAAAAAGCGGAGAGGTGGTCAGTATATGACATGGTGTCGTGGTATGAAAGAAAGCTGCAAAGGGCTAGCTTCTGTTGGTCCTTCATGACTCCCTGGTTGGGGTCCGAGAGACGGTGTAACGCAGTGGCTAGAGACGTTATCAGATATGGCTCAGAATAGAAGCCAGTGGCGATCCTGCTGTAACCTTCTTTTACTTTCTTCATAAAAAGTGTTTATATCTTCCTTAACTGAAAGATTTCTTCTGATTGTACCTTTCCGTTTTCCCCATCATTGTTCTCTCCCTCTTCTTTTTTTATAATTCCCCACGTTCATTACTTTTTTTTTTCTATTTCCTCCTTCTCTTCAAATTATCATTGTTTTGTGTGGCGCATATATATTTGGTGCCCCCCTGTACCAATATTTATGTGTGTTAGATGTAGACTACTTGATTGGGACCCGCATGACTAGCGTAATCAATGGTTAGAGACTGGGCGACATGGTTCAAAATCGATCACAACGGCGTAGGTGTTTATACTCCGTCTTTCCTTAAACCATGAGACTAAAATGACTTTATACCCTTCTTTCTACGAACTAATTATTTCTCCTTGTATTGTATCCTCCTATGCAACATTTCTTTTATATATTACTACCACTGAAGCAACTACTATAAATTTGGTGGTCATTTTGTTGTGCTATTGAGCGGACTCTGCCCACCCTCGGCTGTACCAGGGCATTAGGGGACAAAGTTTTTCGACCCCATCCAATCTACTTAGAATTTCATTCTCATATACTGTTGCCAACTTTTATGATGCCTGTGTAGTTATTTTTTCAGTGTTCAGACTTATACATTATTAATTTCTCTTCTCTCTACCTTTTGATATCGATTTATGTAAATCCCAACAATCGTGTTCCCTTTATAATTTGACGATGATCAGAGACATCAACGAAAAACTAAAAATAATAAAAGCCAGTTCTTGATGCTGTTTGAGTAGCTTTTTGTTTGGCTTACCGTCCTCATAGCAAAATAATAAGTGCTAATGACCACGTCTATTCATCTGTTGTTTTGTGGTAGGCTTAATAGAGTTTAAAAGAATTTGTTTTAGACACTGCTCATCGTTACTTGTGGTCTAGTAGCTTCATTCGTTAATATATTTGGTAAACAAATCAGTAGAATGGATACTCAAGATTCTGAAAACCAGGGAATAAATACGTTCTGTTGTGACTGTTTTTAGGAAATACCATACAACTTACAGTAGAACATGTATAATTTGATGGCTTCCTATTTATCTAGTTTTGTAGCCTTTCCATACTGTTTTATGAAGTAAAGTCGAGCAGTTTGTTCCTGAATACTTTGAACGTTTTAGTGGTTATCTTAATAATATCTGTAGAGCCATTTCATATGTTACTGTAAATTTGCGAGAATAATATGAAAGTCCTAAATTATGTACACTTTTCCATTTACATCCCTTAATGTTTTCATTACTCTTTAACAGTACTATCCTTAATAAGTTCGGTTAACGAGTCCTTTTGGTTTACATTTTTTACAGCATATAAAAGTATTGATAATGAAAAGTCTCCAGTAACTAATCATTTTGTACAAATCAGCTACTCTGTAAATTAAGTGTAAGTCAATTATTTTGGGTTGAATACTAAGTCGTCGTATCGCTACGTGAGCTGTGTTGAGTTTTGATGTGACTATCTGTTTCTAAAGGAACGCTTACAAAAAGAGTCATCAGAGGCAACTTGAAATGTCAATTAATCTTCATTGATCACCCGAAGGGGTTATCATTTTTCATGACCAGCTTTTATGCGATCAACCTTGAAAGGTAATTTAGATGTATATATAACCACTAACTAGCGTAAACTACTGATTAGATTTACTTATCTTTCAATATTCAGTAGTCGTATAATAGTGCGACAAACTAAGACTAATACTTAGATGATGGAGAGTAAGAAATTCAAACCCTTCGATACAGTCGTAAACTTTAACGAAGACTTCATTTCAGGTAGTTTTAAATTCGAATTGAATTTATCCAATTTCAGATTGTGAAGTACACATTAAGACAAGTTCTTCAAAATATGGTTTTTGTAGCTATCCAGGTACCAAAGAAGAAAACGAATCACAGTCGCTAAATATTATTGCTGCTCTCGGATCATTCTTTCAGGGTCGGGACACAAGCCGAAAACTTTTAGATTCAGATGTTACTACAAACCTTCAGAGTCCTGAAAACAAAAACTTATTTCAAAACTCATGTTCCCCCAGTGAACCGTTAAAATTCATAGGTTATCGACCCATATTCGGTTCTACGAATTATATTGACTTATGTTCTTTCGATACTCATAATCGTCTCAAACCTTTTGAATTATCATTTCTAGGTGTTCCTCTCTTCACTTCTTCGACCCATTCCTATTATTCAGATGACTGTATTTATAACATTACCAAACAACAAACTATGCTTGTATCAAGATCTTTTAACAACAAGTCCAAAAAGGGACGTGTAAGATCACTTTCTGAATTATCGCTTCAACACGTCTATCATAAGGAAAAAAGAAGTGTAGCTGAAGCAGGCGTTTATTCATCTTGCAACCATTATGAAAAAGAACTGAATTACCTTCGGCAGGAGCTTATGGCGCGCACTGAAGAGGCAGAAAAGATTGCACATGAACGTATGCATGCAAAGAATGAAGAAAAACAATCTGGTGATCATTTACGCGAACTGACAAAAGAGGGTTCTGCTAAGACAGATACTATTAATAAGTTAAAAGAAAAAGTTTCTGAGCTATATGTTGAAGTGGAATCCCTTCGGTATTCTCATCAACAAGCCATCCGTCACCAAGAAGATTTACAGAAGGAGATCGACATTTTGAAGTGCTCACGTGATTGGTACGCTAATCAGCTTCGTTCAGTTCAGTGTGTTAGTGATCGTGTTCAAAACGAACCTGAAAGAATTATCAACTTACTAAGGGATAGCAGTGAAATAAATCATCGTCTAGCACATGAAGTTGCTTGTTTGCGAGCTCAGTTAGTATGTAGCAAGGCCGCCTTAGCTGATGCTAAACGAAATCTCTCTCGCCAGTTAAAGTCTATCCGTGTTGATATGGTAGAACGTGAAGCCATTTTTGAGCGTATTACTACTGAACGAACTTTATTTGAGAATATCAGTCGTCAGCGCGCTGATGAGATAAGAGAGCTACAGACTCAGGTGTCGAATTTTCAAATGGAACTTAAGGCTACTAAAGAGTATATTTTGCTTCAGAAGAATAAACTGTTGGATGCTGAAGGAGCCCTGGTAGTCGCAGAAAGAAAACGCAGTGAATTACAAAACCAGTTAGAATCCTTTGAAAGAGAACAATTTACGAAGGAAAACTATCTAGATGATCAAATCTCTAGATATGGTATCATCTTAGAAAGTCTGAAGGTTTATGAAAACGGCGATAAAAGTAAGGGCATCTTAATTGATGAGATTCTAGAAGAAAAAGCCACACTCACTGCAGCTCTCTCAGCATCACAATATGAAAAAGAGACATTGAATAAATACTTGATAAATTTGAAGGATAACTTAGTCAGAGTAGAAAAAAGTTTTGTCATCCTTAGACGGGAAATTGAATCCAAGTCTGCACAAATTGTGGAGCTCACCACTCAACGAGACAGTATGGCTGACAAAATTAAATTTCTTTCTGACCAGTTAAATGATTACTGGGAAGTGATTGAAAAGTTAAGGCAAGAAAAAGAGAAATTAAATTCTTCCTTAAAAGTTTCGCTGACAGAAACCGAAAATTCCCACAACAATCTAAACAAATTAAATCTTTCACTCCAAAAGGCTGATGGTGGCTTTGAAACTGTTGCTAAAGTGAAACATGTAGGATCGAGTTCTCTTTTGTCGAGTCAGATAATTAACAAACAACTTACATTAGAGTCGCAGACCATTCATTACTTCCCAGTTGCAATGGAGACCTTTCAAAGTCAACCAAATACTGCTTCTTTACCGTCTTCAGTTGATAATTTCAGTACCTCGGATGCCACACATTCTTTACACATTCAAGTGAATAAAGATAGTTGTTGGCAAATTATGAATTTAAACAGAAGATTATCCAGTGACGCTGTTTGTGACGTAGCTCCAATTTTGCAAAATACAATCGGTGTACTGGATTCTAATTATGACACTCAAAATATTGGCTCGAATTCACAGGAAAACTATCCCAAAACACTTTTAAGTTCTGATAAAAATATATTTTGGTCAACGGATCCTTCATCTTTAGTTTCTGCCCGTGTTTTGTCTCCTTCATACGAGCAAAATCAAATGGGATTAAATCAAACAGTTCCTTATTCAAATAGTCAGTGTTATCTTGATAACTGGCCATATATACAGCAGTCACCAGATAACCAGAATATTGCTAATGTGGATTCTGGCTTTCACATTTCAGACACCCATATAACAACCAATCAACTACGTTCTTCGTATAACCAACAACGTAATATACCTTATTTAAATCTATATTCACATGATAGTCTGAACCATACTGATGAGTATAAATCCAATGTACAACAAGATAATTCGTACACGAGTCTATCTAAAGGTGAATGTTCCTCGGATGTTAATTGTGATATTACACTTACTAGAAACAACATTTTAATTCCTAGAGCCAGTTCACCTTTGAACCACAAAACCAATAATCTGAACTGTGATAAAATTTATACAGATCCATTGGATACACCAGAACAACAACAAAATATCTGCTTTTCTAACAAAAATGATACTTGTACGATCTTATCTACTGAGCAGGATACCAACTATAAATGTGCTGCTACTGACGTTCAAAATATTCATACAAATGGTTGGACAGGTAAAGAGTCATCTAGATGCTCTAGTAATTTCCGTGTTAAAATAAATGAAAGTGGAACACCAGTTAAGTTGACGGAATATTTCTCAAATAATCATCAAGGGAACCAGACAAATGAAGTTTTCCACATACAGAATGTAACCACTACCTTACTACCTGTCACTGAAACATCCGAGTCAATACTATATAGCTGTTCATCACATGAAAATTCGAATCTGACTGAAATTACTGAAAGTAAAGCAGAAAGACTGAAATTATATCAAGTTGAAGGATCAAATCAGTCAACAGTCATTTCTAAAAAAAGTGGTCATGAATACTGTTCATGTTCTGCCCCTTCTGAAACACCAAATGACTTAAGAATATGCAATACCCGTCAGTCTAATATCAATACTTGTTCTTTAACACACACATATGATACATCTGAAGCTCTTCTAATGTCTTCTTTCGATGAACTGAACTGTTTGAAAAGTGAGCGGGACAAGCTTTCCGAGCATGTTTCAGTCTTGCAAAAGGATTTAGCCAATGCTGTTGTTAACTTAACAACTTATCAGAAAGAGGCAGAAATACAAACACTTAATGCTGAGCGTGAAAAAGTCGCCCATCAACAAGCACTAGAGGCTCATCAACTTACTATTATGGAACTTAATAATGCCAAAGCCGAACTTGATAACGTGCAAAAGTTAGTTAGTGAACTTCGTCAGGAAGTTGTCTCTTCAAAAGAAGAAGTGGCATTATTGCGGGCGCACGAAGATGAAAATCGTTCTCTCTATGAAATGGAAATCAATTCAATGAAATCAATTGTTAAGGTATATCCCATTTTATTTAGAAACATTAATTCTTGTTTTTATTATGCTGCATAATAAACACAAGTCGATGAGTTTTTTTGCATCTATTTAAGCAGATCCCATCCGATATTTTTCATTTTTATTTTGGACAGTGCGTTCATAAACCGATTTTTTGTGACTTTCGTCTATTTTTATTAATAAACGTCAACATACAACTACATTATGAGTGGTCTTGTAACGCTTATACTGTCCATTGTAATCAGTACTACAAATTTTCGTGTAAGTATTGTAATGATTGTTAATATTTGGATAAAGAAAGTGATAATTAAGTACTACACATTCCTGTGGTCATAGTATCGTAGTGTCGGTTACTATGTTAAGCTTCTGGACAATCCAATTTATCCATTCTTCTTGAGTCACAGTTTGACCTTGTCAATTATTCGCTTATTAATGCTGATTTTTTATGTAAGCGTGTGTGTGTGCATTTCTTATCTTACTCATCACATGTCTTTAACTTATTTTTGTTCGACTATAAATATCGATTCACCCTTTACTAAATTGAGTTGGCTCACTCGCCTTCTCAATTGCGCGTCGTTTTGTTTTGCTCCGCTTTCCGATCAACGATTGTACGAAATATACGTACTCAAAAATCCATTCTCGTATTTGACTTATTTAGTTCCGTTATTTATTAACCCTACTTCGGTTTGGGCACCCGGGCAGTATCACAGCCCTCACACAAATCAATTGAGATTCGTGTGGCGCATATGTATTTGGTGCCTCCTTGTACCAATATGTGTTAAAATAAATAAATAAATAGTTATTTATTAACGCTAGTTAAGTCGATAACTCCGCCTGGAGTCCCTTTCCGGGGGCTACTGCCGGTCCCAAGCCCGGATAAAGGAGGAGGGTTGGGCATGGGGTTAGCGACCCCATCCCGTAGAAAACTAACTCGCTAAAAAAACGCTAACCAGAAAAAATTATTCAAACCATTTAAACTCTGCCCTGGGAGTCAGGAGGTCTTCGTTTAGAAGAATTATGACGCCTCATGATGAAAGCCGAGTTTCTTCGGAAGTCACGAGGCCGATGCCCCTTCTGACAACCAGAGCAACCATTTATTTAGGTACATGGAATGCTCGCACAATGTGGGAGACTGGGAGAGTTTTCCAAATTGCTGCAGAAATGAGGAGATACAATTTAGAGGTGCTTGGGATCAGTGAAACACATTGGACGCAAGTTGGACAACAACGACTAGCTTCAGGGGAGCTGCTGTTATACTCCGGACATGAACAAGAAAATGCCCCACATACACAAGGAGTTGCATTGATGCTGTCCAAACAAGCACAAAATGCACTTATAGGATGGGAATCTCATGGAGCAAGGATCATCAAAGCCTCCTTCAAAACCAAGAAAACGGGGATTACAATGAACGTCATCCAATGCTACGCGCCTACCAATGACTACAATGAAGACCCTAAACATCAATTCTACGATAGGCTGCAGTCAATCGTCGAGAAGTGCCCAACAAAAGACCTGACTATTCTGATGGGAGACCTAAATGCCAAGGTTGGAATTGACAACACCGGATATGAAGAGATCATGGGACGACACGGACTGGGAGAAAGGAACGAAAATGGTGAGAGATTTGCAAACCTATGTGCCTTCAATAAACTGGTCATAGGCGGGACTATATTCCCACATAAACGCATACACAAAACCACATGGACTTCACCGGATCACACCACACAGAACCAAATCGACCATATCTGCATCAACAAAAAGTTCAGGAGGACGATGGAGGACGTGAGAACAAAGAGAGGAGCTGATATAGCATCAGATCATCACTTGCTGGTCGCCAAGATGAAATTGAAACTCAAGAGGCACTGGACAACGGGGAGGACAATATCACAAAAGTTTAATACGGCTCTTCTTCGGGATACTGACAAACTCAATAAATTCAAGATAACCCTCAGCAATAAGTTCCAAGCCTTTCATGATCTACTCAATGGAGAAGGAACTACTATGGAGAGCAACTGGAAAGAGATAAAAGAGGCAATCACTTCAACATGTCATGAGGTTCTGGGCCAAAAGAAGCACCATCACAAGGATTGGATCACGGTCGATACACTGGATAAGATTCAAGAAAGGAGGAACAAGAAAGTAGCAATCAATACCAGTCGAACAAGAGCAGAAAAAGTCAAGGCACAGGCTGAATACACAGAAGTAAACAAGCAAGTGAAAAGGAGCATCAGAACCGACAAACGTAAATATGTGGAAGATTTGGCAATGACGGCGGAAAAGTCTGCCAGAGAAGGAAACATGAGACAACTGTATGAAACAACAAAGAAACTCTCCGGAAATCACCGTAAACCAGAACGACCAGTGAAAAGCAAGGAAGGCAAGATAATCACCAACATTGAAGAACAACGAAACAGGTGGGTAGAACACTTCAAAGAACTCTTGAATCGACCAGCCCCACTGAACCCACCCAACATCGAAGCAGCACTCACGGACCTCCCAATTGATGTTGGCGCACCGACAATTGAAGAAATCAGCATGACTATCAGACAAATCAAGAGTGGCAAAGCAGCAGGACTAGACAGCATTCCAGCAGAGGCACTGAAAGCAGACGTAGCGGCAACTGCAAGGATACTCCAAACTCTCTTCAGAAAGATCTGGGATGAGGAACAGGTACCAAAAGACTGGAAAGAAGGACTTCTGGTCAAAATACCAAAGAAAGGCGATCTCAGCAACTGTGACAACTACAGGGGAATCACTCTTCTTTCAATACCGGGAAAAGTCTTCAACAGGGTATTGTTAAACAGGATGAAGGACTCCGTAGACGCCCAACTTCGAGACCAACAGGCAGGATTCCGTAAGGATAGATCGTGCACAGACCAAATCGCAACTCTACGGATCATTGTGGAACAATCAATTGAATGGAATTCATCACTCTATATCAACTTCATCGACTACGAAAAAGCATTTGATAGCGTGGACAGAACAACCCTATGGAAGCTTCTTCGACACTACGGCGTGCCTGAGAAGATAGTCAATATCATACAGAATTCCTATGATGGATTAAACTGCAAAATAGTGCATGGAGGACAGTTGACAAAGTCGTTCGAAGTAAAGACCGGTGTCAGGCAAGGTTGCTTACTCTCACCCTTTCTCTTTCTCCTGGTGATCGACTGGATCATGAAGACATCAACATCTGAAGGGAAGCACGGGATACAGTGGATAGCTAAGATGCAATTGGATGATCTAGACTTTGCAGATGATCTGGCTCTTCTATCGCACACACAACAACAAATGCAGGAGAAGACAACCAGTGTAGCTGCAGCCTCAGCAGCAATAGGTCTCAATATACACAAAGGGAAAAGCAAGATTCTTCGATACAACACAGCATGTACCAATCCAATCACAATTGACGGAGAAGCTTTGGAAGATGTAAAAACCTTTACATATTTGGGCAGTATCATCGATGAACACGGTGGATCTGATGCAGATGTGAAGGCACGGATTGGCAAAGCAAGAGCAGCATATTTACAACTGAAGAATATCTGGAACTCAAAACAATTAGCAACCAACACCAAAGTCAGAATTTTCAATACAAATGTCAAGACAGTTCTACTGTATGGGGCGGAAACCTGGAAAACTACGAAATCCATCGTCCAAAAGATACAGGTGTTTATTAACAGTTGTCTACGCAAAATACTTCGGATCCGTTGGCCGGACACTATTAGCAACAACCTACTGTGGGAGAGAACAAATCAGATCCCAGTGGAGGAAGAAATCAGGAAGAAGCGCTGGAAGTGGATAGGACACACATTGAGGAAAGCACCGAACTGCGTCACAAGACAAGCCCTCATATGGAACCCTCAAGGTCGAAGGAAGAGAGGAAGACCAAAGAATACATTACGCCGAGAAATGGAGATAGATATGAGAAAAATGAACAAGAATTGGATGGAACTAGAAAAGAAGGCCCAGGACAGAGTGGGTTGGAGAATGCTGGTCGGCGGCCTATGCTCCATTGGGAGTAACAGGCGTAAGTAAGTTAAGTCGATAATTACATGCGAGGATTGGTGACATGTATATTTCGATAACAACCATTCGTACGATCCGATTGGAGTCAGATTAAGGGCTACTAAAGTATCCTATCTACTTTTTTGTGTAATCTCGTGTCTATGTCTATTATTTAAAATCCTGCCTAGTAGTATTTAATAGTAGTTTCTAAAGCATTGTAATTGTTTAGTAATTCAGAGGAATAACTTTAGAACTTTTTAACTTATAGATAACAAGCGATCACTTATCAACACTGGCAGAATCACTCTACAATGCGCTGAGTGAAAAAGCTATACTACAGAGGGAATTCAATCATTTGAAAAATAGGATTCATGGTCAGTTACAGAAATTTCGTTTATTTACTCGTTTGGAGTTATATGACGAATCTAAAATAATCAACCAAGTTTCTGTTGATCCATTAGCTGCTCTTGGAATTTATTTAGAAAATCTGGTTGATGGTAACTCTCAGATCAGTTTTCATATAAAGTAAGATAAATTTCACATAAGCTATGAATTTGCATTTCATATTTTATTTTGGATTGCAATATTTACTGGGTTCACAGGTTCATCCCAGCCACTTTAGTATCCCTGGATGGTATCATAAAGTATGCTTTTCAACTTGATCTCATTCATTAGTCTCATATAACCTGTTCAACTAAATAACTTGTAGTGGCTTTGCTTTGTTAATCGATCACGTTTGTACCCGTCATTATGTAAATCTCAACGACGTTTGAAATCAGAAGGCAATAAGAAGCGGTGACTACGGTTTATTAGCGGATAGCACATATCACAAAGCCACAAGCACATCAAGCGAATTTGAAGCATATAGACAAATATGTGCGTGCAAGCAAATATAGAGGCAAATTTCTAGTCAAATCTAATGAGGCTCAGCTAGGCAAGGGAAAGACTAATAATAAGATTTGCGTACATATATGCATGGGAAAGAGAATGAATCACTGAACAATATTTAAGTTATTGTTACTGTTCTAATAACATTATCTGTTAAGTAAGTTAATAAAAGAGCTTAACCAAAAATTAACCATAATCGAAATTGATTATAGGAGGTTTGCGATAGACGTTGCTTATTCAAAAATACTAGGGTGAACGTTTATCTATCCTTTATTTCGTATGTAGACAACCTAACCATTAAAAAATGTGTTAAAAGGCGGATTTTTGTGATGCGTAAATTATGTATAAACTCTCGTGCTTCTATTACTGTAGGTTGTTTTTTGGGCTCCTTGGAATATATTTTATTCCCAGCTTATTTTTATGTTTATAGAGTCGAGTTAAGTGAATTAGCTAAGGAATACTAAACAAGTCACAAGTCCAAACTGGGACGCTTTATGTTAAAAAGAACATTTTGGATATCATCTACATATACCTATCTTATTTAAATGTTAAGGGAACAAATTTTAAAAATATTATTTATTTCATTTAGGGAGATCCCAAAACTTATTAAATCTCTTTTATAGGTCACCTCGTAAATTTAATCCATCCTTCGAATCTCTTCGATCAGAAATAACAAAACTTGAAAATGATCTACTTAGTCGTAATATGCTTATCAGTGACTCAACTCAAAATTAATAGTAAGTGAATAGATTGTTTTGCATGTTATTTTTTTAGTGTCAACTGAATCATGAGTTAACTGTATCTTCTAAGGATTCGGTTCAAATATGCACTCATTTCGTGTACACTAAGTAGTCCCTGGGTAGCAATCAGTACAACTTATAATTATTCACATTAGACAGGATCCTGGTAAGTTTGTAATGCATGTAGTAGATAAAAAAAGGTTGATATAGTGATGTTAGTTACGTAATGTCGAAATGGCTTACTGGATTCATATGATTTTAACAAAGTATGATTTGCACCCACGTTTTATGTATTTCTTTCTTGATGAATGCTAACTAGCGCGAAACCTACATCTAAAGATTTCTGTTGATTACTCTTAGTCGAAAGGGATTAATTACAATTTACCAATATGATATCTAGTCGCTGCTGTGCCGAACGTCCTTAAGCGATGAAAATTCACAACTTCACCTAAATGACTTATGATTAAGTTAGTTCCTTACGCTTAATTTCAGCATTACTTACATAACGTTTGCACCATGCGTAATTAGTGTTTCGAGGACATTTTATCGTCAAATACTAGCAACTTTCGAAGGTTACATTTCATAACCGTAATAATAATGGGATGAATTGCCACCCGATATACTCTATATGATAAGCAGATTTTCTCCGTGTAATGCTCTCAGAAATTCAACTTATTAATGAAACTAGTTTTTAAGGCCTTGTTTGTCGATTTTTTACTTGTATGCAACTTAAAGACAACCTTACCGAAGTTATGGACTCATATCTAAATCCCGATTAACTGAAAATTAATCCAACTAATTGCGATAGAATAATATAAGATGTTGGTTTTGAATTCAATTGGCAGCTGATATTAAATATAATCAACTGAGCTATCTACTTATTTTCAATCACATGAAAATTTCACTCTAAGTAGTATTATCACCTCTTGTTTTGTCCCTCTTTTAGGTCATCAGTTGACGTACAGTTTCATTCATATGGCATTTACTTTTAAACTGCACTGCCTCAAGGTGATTTCAATTTTTTCATACTTGTCTGTTTTATAGATTTCAGTGAACAATTTAGTGAATTTCATATGCATACATATATGCAATCTCTCCCTATGCATACAATATATGTGATATACGCTTATAGTTTGTTTGGACTTCTTTGTAGTTGTATTTCTTGCTTATTTTTGTCATCGTGAAGATCACTTCAGTCTTTCACTTTTAGATTCACAAATAATTTTTTTAATATTAGAAGTATTTCTTTAAATGATTATGAACTCAAAAAAAAAATCTATTGCGCGTGAGATAATTTCATTGTGCTAATTATTTTGTACTGTTCAGACCTAAGTTAACAATGAGTTATGTTTTCTTTACTTCGTCTTACATACTTTGATTTGTTCTTTGTGTATGATAAAGTGAGGGTATTTTAATGTCTTTATATGACTATGTTTATTTTATCTCTTATAAATGTATTTCTACTCTGGTTGGTATTCTATTTTTTAACTATTGTGCTGATATGCGAAATTCCCATCTGTGTTTTATCTCGCGACAAGTTTAAAGCCTTTTTGTAAATTTGTAACGTAAACGGATAGATAATGGGAATGCTCACTGGTTTACTTAGGTACGCGTCTTACTAACATGCTGGTGACGAAAATTAAATATATATGTGCATATAATAAATGCATAATGTTTCTGCATCCAGCTATACACAAAAAATAAATCTTACATTTCACGTAAAGTCATATGTTGACTAGGAGTATCCTACATGTTTCATCCAATTTTTCGATATCTTACTATACATCAGCATAGATTATGTATGCCCCATTCTTTTACCTAAGAGTCCTATTTCGGACGGGTACCTTAACTGACATACAGAGATTCTTTTTCACTTATACCTATTTTTATGAAGGCGGTATCCAACAGCTTCTAAAAAGATATCCTTGCACTTCACTCTATTTTATTTCATAAAAGTAACCGGAACTAAGTCGTACTTGTGATGCGTTCGGTGTTATTAGCACTCACAGTGGACTAATACGAATAAGATAATCTTAAGTTTATCTGGAAGTTACGGTGCTTTAGAGAAGTATTTTTGTTGTCAATGTTTGCTTGGCGTCAAATCCATTTTACTAATAATGAAATAGTTGGAGCTGATAAACAACGTACGGGTTTGCTAACTAAATTATTCAATCAATCTTAGATTGAATCAAAACGTTGCATATAAACTTTTCTACAGCATTTGGCCAAAACGGGATAAACATTTGATTATTGAACACTGGTAAGTTCAGTAGTGTACTATGGTTTCATCTATTAACTAACACGTTGCATTCGTCCATATCCTCTGGTTCAGTACTTTCCCGCTGATTGCTTTACGAATTTTTTATAAAAAAATTTGCAATATTCTGTAATTTGGTAATTAATTATGTGTCTTCAACCCTAACTAGGGATCAACGTCTTCATCTGTAACAGTTTCATTTAGTTTAAATTAAATTAGACGATTGCATGGTTAATCCTCAAGTGATTCTATCTCAAACCACATTTTTGAACAACCAAGTACGCTGTTTTAAAATTTATTATTATTATTTTTTTATTAAACGCCTGTTACTCCTCGTGAAGGAGCATAGGCCGCTCACCAGCATTCTCCATCCAACCCTGTCCTGAGCAATCCTTTCAAGCTCTTTCCAGTTCTTATTCATCCTTTTCATATCTGCTTCTATTTCCCGACGTAATGTGTTCTTCGGCCTTCCTCTTTTCCGCTTCCCTTCAGGATTCCAAGTTAGCGCTTGTCTCGTAATGCAGTTTGATGATTTCCTCAATGTATGTCCTATCCATTTCCATCGTCTTTTCCTAATTTCCTCTTCAGCTGGAAGCTGGTTTGTTCTCTCCTACAAAAGGCTGTTGCTGATGGTATCCGGCCAATGGATGTTGAGTATCATGCGTAGACAGCTATTGATAAAAACCTGTACCTTCTTGATGGTGGTTGTTGTAGTTCTCCAAGTTTCAGCTCCGTACAGTAGAACTGCCTTGACGTTGGTATTGAAGATTCTGACTTTGATATTGGTTGAAAGTAGTTTTGAGTTCCATATGTTCTTCAGTTGAAGGAATGCCGCTCTAGCTTTGCCAATCCTCGCCTTGACGTCTGCATCTGAACCTCCTTGTTTATCGACGATGCTTCCCAGGTATGTGAAGGATTCCACGTCTTCCAGAGTTTCGCCATCAAGAGTGATTGGATTGCTGTTCTCCGTGTTGAGTTTGAGGACCTTGGTTTTCCCTTTGTGTATGTTGAGGCCTACTGATGCAGAGACTGCTGCTACTCTGGCTGTCTTTATCTGCATTTGTTCGTGTGTATGTGATAGGAGGGCTAGGTCGTCTGCGAAGTCCAAGTCGTCTAATTGGTTCTGAGCTGTCCATCGTATGCCGTAGTTTCCCTCAGATGTCGAGGTCTTCATAATCCAGTCGACCACCAGAAGAAACAGGAAGGGAGAGAGTAGACAGCCTTGTCTTACTCCGGTCCTTACTTGGAATGCGTCAGTCAGCTGTCCTCCATGCACTACTTTGCACTGTAGTCCATCGTATAAGTTCCGGATAATGTTGACAATCTTGTCAGGAACTCCGTAGTGTCGAAGAAGTTTCCATAACGTCCTCCTATCTACACTGTCAAATGCCTTCTCATAATCAATGAAGTTGATGTAGAGTGACGAGTTCCACTCAATTGATTGTTCGACGATTATCCGTAGTGTCGCAATTCGGTCTGTGCATGACCGGTCCTTACGGAATCCAGCTTGTTGATCTCGAAGTTGAGCGTCTACTGCGTCTTTCATCCTGTTCAGTAACACTCTGTTGAAGACTTTACCCGGTATTGACAGTAGTGTAATGCCTCTGTAGTTTTCACACTTGCTCAGGTCTCCTTTCTTTGGAATCTTGATGAGGTGTCCTTCCTTCCAGTCCATCGGCACTTGTTCCTCCTTTAGGTATTTCTCTTCTTTTCTTCGTGCTGCCAGAGTGGTGCAGTGTGACCTCGCCCTCTTAAACAAAGTTTGCACGCAGTTGATCAGTTTGTATGTGTTTTCTAGCTCATTCTTTTTGACGAGAACAACCACTTGTTCCTCCTTCCAAATCTTCTTGAATAGGAGATGAAGCATGTTTGTCGTTACTTCGATGTCTGACTTCAGTGCTTCAGCTGGTATATTGTCGGGTCCCGCTGCTTTCCCGCTCTTGATTTGTCTGATGGCCATTCTGATTTCTTCTGTCGTTGGTGGATTGACATCTATAGGGAGATCTGTGTGTGCTGCTTTGATATCCGGTGGATTCATTGGTGCCGGCCTATTCAGGAGTTCCTCGAAGTACTCTGCCCATCTGCTGCGCTGTTGTTGAATCTCAGTGATTGGTCTTCCTTCTTTGTCTTTGACTGGTCTCTCTGGTTTACTGTATTTCCCCGCAAGCTTCTTCGTCGTATCGTAAAGCTGTCTCATACTTCCTTCTCTTGCAGCTTTTTCCGCCGTCGTTGTTAGTTCTTCCACGTATTTTTGCTTATCAGCTCTAATGCTCTTCTTCACTTGCTTGTTTGCTTCTATGTACTCAGCTTGTGCTTGGACTTTCTCTGCTTTTGTTCGACTGTTGTTAATTGCTGTCTTCTTGTTCTTTCTTTCTTTGATCCTGTCCAGTGTTTCTATAGAGATCCATTCCTTGTGATGATGCTTCTTGGGGCCCAGAACCTCATCACACGTTGAAGTTAATGTTTCTTTGATACCTTTCCAGCTATCCTCCATACTAGTTTCTTCTTCCTTCAGTAGGTCCTGTAAGGCTTGGAACCTATTGTTGAGAGCTACCTTGAATTCATTGAGTTTGTCAGTATCTCGAAGGAAGGCTGTATTGAACCTTTGTGGTGCTGTTTGTCCAGTTGTCCAGTTCTTCTTTAGCTTCAGTTTCAATTTGGCCACAACCAGGTGGTGATCTGAAGCTATGTCCGCTCCTCTCCTGGTTTTCACATCTTCTATTGTCCTTCGGAACTTTTTATTGATATAAATATGATCTATCTGGTTCTCTGTGGTGTGGTCCGGTGAGATCCATGTAGCTTTGTGTATACGTTTGTGTGGAAATATTGTGCCGCCTATGACCAATTTATTGAATGCACACAGATTTGCAAATCTTTCCCCGTTTTCGTTTCTCCCAGTCCATGTAGTCCCATGATGTCTTCATATCCGGTGTTGTCCATTCCGACTTTGGCGTTTAGATCTCCCATCAGAATGGTGAGGTCCTTTCTTGGGCACTTCTCTATAATTGATTGCAGCCTCTCATAGAATTGATCTTTAATGTCGCCGTTGCTATCATTGGTGGGTGCATAACATTGGATAATGTTCATTGTGATCCCCTCCTTCTTTGTTTTGAATGATGCTTTGATGATTGTGGATCCGTGAGATTCCCATCCTACAAGTGCATTTTGTGCTACTTTGGATAGCATTAGAGCAACTCCCTGCGTGTGTGGAGCATTTTCCTCTTTGTGACCGGAGTATAGCAGCATCTCTCCCGTATTTAGCCTTTGTTGTCCAGCTTGGGTCCAATGGGTTTCACTGATTCCCAGCACTGCCAAGTTGTATCTCCTCATTTCCGTTGCTATTTGACTGGTCTTCCCGTTCTCCCACATTGTCCGGACGTTCCATGTACCTATAAAAATTGTTGCTCTGGTTGTTAGAAGGGGCATCGGCCTCGTGGCTTCCGAAGGAACTCGGCTTTCACCATGAAGCGTCATATTACCTCTAACTCCCAGGGCAGAGTTTAAATGGTTTGAGTTATTTTTTCTGGTTAGCGTTTTTTTAGCGAGTTAGTTTTCTACGGGATGGGGACGCTAACCCTCCTCCTTTACCCGGGCTTGGGAGCGGCAGTAGCCCCCCGAAAGGGACTCCAGGCGGAGTTACGCTGTTTTAAAGACGTTACTAATTTATTTACAAATTGTTAGCCTAATAGAATAATGTTTCCGATATAGAGAAAAAGTGCATCATAGTTAATTACCAGTATCCTGAAGTAGATCCTGACTAGTACAGTTCATATCTTCATACTCTCGAACGGCCGAGGATGGGGAGAGTCCGCGAATTTTCGACGCTTTAACCGGGTTGATGTATACGGAGGACCCACGTAGGGGAGTTGGAAAACCGTGATTTCAAACCAGTGGTGCACATAGGCTCCAGGATCCGGAGTGAACGAAATGCGTATGAACCAGCTGTTGGTCAACGGCTACCATAGGACTGCACCTTCTAAATTTGCTCCACTGCTTTGTGGATTATGCCTTTATATCGAAGGCTCCAGGTGTGGCCCCCTAAGAAAACCATCTGCTTCGGTTTGGGCATGCGAGCAGTATCATAGCTTACACACAAATCAAGTGACTTGTGTGGCATATATGTTTTCGGTGCCCTTTTATACCAATATTTATGTGTTCAAATAAATATGATTGGTTATTGAATTCGAAATTTGTATATATTTCCTCAGTTAATAACTAGATACTGAAGTGTGCACACTTCCGCAGTCTTCCAATACCATTAAGATAAGTAGGACAACATTTGATGAGTGGTACCACGTACTTGTGTTATTTCATTTTCATTATATCACTCCCGAGAAATCAATTCTTGTTAGTGCAAAAATATCAAGGTTTCTGAGTAAATTGGTGCTAATTCGTTTCTTTAACTACAATTCCTTGTGTTCAAAGCTGGTTGATCTCAATATATGTTCACCTATTAAATCAAGAATCCTATTTTAGTAGGAAAACATATAGAAGCAAAGTGTATATGTCATTTCGTATGATTACTAGCCTACAATAAACTCATATATATATATATATATATATATATATATATATATATATATATATATATAGCAACTAATATTTATATATATATATATGCTTTACCAAAGTTAAGTCGATGATTCCGTTTGTATATGATGTTTGCATATATGTAATCAGATAACCTCAGTGACTAGGCTAAACAGTATATTTTTAAAATTTCGATTGACTGATCAGCTCCTACATTATCTTGAGCATTTAAACTAGTCTTTTTGTTAGAAAAAGAAAACAAATGACTAAGAGCAATTCGAAAAACCTGTTATCATTGTTTAAAGTATTAAGTTATTCTCAGGTGATCTTATAATTCGCTCAAAATTAATGACTGTGTAACAACTGTTCGGTTATTCACAGGAAGTCCCTTAATATATATATATATATATATATATATATATATATATATATATATATATATATATATATATATATTACATATATGCAAACATCATATACAAACGGAATCATCGACTTAACTTTGGTAAAGCATATATATATAAATATTAGTTGCTATATCATTTTCAATATCTTCATTGATGTTCTGAGCTTTACTAGTACAACATTACAGCATAGCATAAATGATTACTTGAGTAAACTTGTTCTATGCTCATTGTATTTTAATTATGAAATATAATTTTTGTGTACTCGGCCACCAACTGCCATTCGCATATAGGGAATCAAGACTAAACAGCTACTCAAAACGAGTTAGGTCGGTTAGTGTTTGAGCGCTCATATTACTGGTTGCAAATTAGGCACTTAAAGCACTATACCACCTCTTAACGTTCTCCACTTTATTATGCCATCAATATTCAAAATGAGATGAAACTTGGTTGAAAACTGTTTCTTGTTTGACTGCTTAGTAGCTTTATTAGCTAACATGTAAAGGATAGAAAATGATCTGTCTTTATTGGATTCAAATCTTTGATAAAGGTGTGGAATTTAAACTTAGATCTTCAATCACTTCTCAAATCAGGCTATGTGGATTTTTTAATACGAAGAAGATATTCGTAAGTTACTAGTATTTGACCACAGGTGCCTTAGAAATATTGCTCGCATCTGCTGGGATCACCGGGTAAGTAATAGTGAGGTTAGACGCAGGGTATTAGGGAATGATGGTAAATCAGTTGATGAGGTTATGAACCTTCATCGACTGAGATGGTTGGGCCACGTGCTGCGTATGCCTGAACACAGATTACCACGACGCGCAATGGTAACCGGTGTTAGGGATGACTGGAAGAAAGTTAGGGGCGGCCAAACCAAAATGTGGCATCAGTGCTTGAAGTCACTAACTTCTGGTCTGAGCCATGTTGGTAGATTCAGACTGCCTGGTTGGGGTCTGCAAGACTGTCGTAACCAATGGTTGGAGACTCTTGGTGACATGGCTCAGAATCGATCACAATGGCGTCGGTGTATACACACTCTGTCTTCCTTTAAACTAAGAGATTAAAATCACTTCAAATCTTTCTTTCTTCGAACTAATTCTTTCTTCCTGTACTATCTCCTTATATGCAATCTTTCTTCTATATATTACCACCACTGAATTAACTACTTCTATGAATCCGGTGTTCATCTTGTTGTGCTAATGCAGTATGGCAACTTGGACCGATGCATATGGGGAGTCCTCTAGGACCATTGTTGGCTGATGTGTTCATGGGATATGAGGAAAATTTAGTTGAAAACTCAATTCAAAAGATGGGATTGTATAAACGATATGTTAATGATATAATAATCATAGGGGATAAAGGTGGTGACATAAACCGCTTGTTAAAAGAACTCAATAGGAGTCAAAACCACATTTCTCTTACATGTGAAGAAGAGAAGAACAACAAACTTCCTTTTCTAGACATCTTGATCAGTAGGAGAGATGATGGTTCTATCCAACGTGCTATATACAAAAAGCCAACATGGACAGGGCAATATCTTAATTTTCATAGTCACTGCCCTATTCATTACAAACGCGGTTTAATAAAGAGCTTATTCAGTAGAATCAATCGTATCTGTTTTAGTGATACTATTGAAGTCGAGACGAAGCTCCTGACTGATACGTTAGTGAATAATGGTTTTCTCTTGAAGTTCATAAACCGCTGGAAGGGTTGCAATACGATTAGACCTATGACGCTTCTGGCACCCAAAAAGCGAGTTTATATTACGTTGCCATTCAGAGGCGACACAAATAGTCTCATGTTGAAACGGAGACTTAAATTAGCCATCAACCGGACATTTTATGCAGCCCAACTTGTCATTATTGAAAAGACAAGGTCTATGTTTCACCAAAAGCCCAAACAGCACGTAAGCGATTGTGTCACATCCCATTGCGTCTATCAATTTACATGTATGTGTGGAAACACGTATATAGGGAGGAGCAATCGTGATTTGCAATTAAGGGTGGGTGAACACATACCAAAATGGTTGCAAAAGCAAATGGATTCCAGAGTGGTAATCACATTTGTTTTGTGTACTTGAATATTTTTTCCTTTGTCATGACTTACCCTTAACCTGTCTAGTTGACCTTTTATTTTTATATATAAATGCTCTTAACAAGTATATGTGTGATCAAATTGTTCGAAATGTATTGCGCTAATATATCACATAATTCTGATAAACTTCGTCTTCTCATTGCATTATCAAAATTTATTATTATTACCTTATACAATTTTATTCAGTTTATTATTATGACCTTTGTTGTTTGTCGCTTTTCTATCAATTTACATGTATGTGTGGAAACACGTATATAGGGAGGAGCAATCGTGATTTGCAATTAAGGGTGGATGAACACATACCAAAATGGTTGCAAAAACAAATGGATTCCAATGGTCAAATAAGATCACAGGATAGACAGACATCATCCTCCATTGCGAAACATTTGATTGAGACGGGTCATAAGGTCGACATCAAATCAGCATTTGTAGTGTTACACAAAAGCCTTCAAGGACGTATACTAAGATTTATTGAAGCCTTGGTTATACGGAAACTAAAACCCCCTTTATGTGTTCAAAAACAATTTGTCCTTACACTAAAGCTACCCTGGTAATACTGATTTATTATCCAGAGTGGTAATCACATTTGTTTTGTGTACTTTAATATTTTTTTCCCTTGTCATGACTTACCCTTAACCTGTCTAGTTGACCTTTTATTTTTATATATAAATGTTCTTAACAAGTATATGTGTGATCAGATTGTTCGAAATGTATTGCGCTAATATATCACATAATTCTGATAAACTCCGTCTTCTCATTGCATTATCAAAATTTGGACTATTATCTGACCCATAAATTCTGTTCTTCCTTACCCCTTGACTAGTACGTTAACCTCATTTGTTATTTATTCTCTAATCCATTTTGGTGATACAATTCTTTCTGTCCTCCAATAGATATACATTTTCCATATGACTATATATACGAATGTATAACTTAAGTAAATGATTTCGTCGAAAAGAAAATTTTCTTCGCTGAATTCTCTTTTTCTTATATAAATATGCATTTAGTGTTTTTTGTAAAATTAATTGTAGTTCTATATATTAAAATTAGTTTGATAAAAGAGCCAATAAGTGTGTAATTGAAAGCCACAAATAACTTGGTGATAAATTCATCCAATACAAATTTAATATTATCTATCCACTTACTTAAATGGACTTTAAGTAGTTTTGATACAACGCATAAAACATTAGGACCTTTAAAAAGGTCCAGAGGAAACAATCTTTAGTGAAAGCTATATGAATGCTTTGATCAATTTGCCTTTAAAACCTTACTTTTTAAGGAAAATGTAGAGTGGGTTCCTCTAATTTTATATTTGATTTTACAGTAGACACTTTGCAAAATAACAAAATTGATTACATCAAAAACTAAATGCAACAATGGATTGTTTTTACTTTAATCGATGTATTCCTCTTGAAAATAAAAAAAATGTTAAGAAGTTATGGTGAATTCTGGTTTTTATTGTATAATTGTTTTTTTTACAACAACAACATTACACCGACTGTTCAATTGTAGGGTTTGTAATTGTTTAAAATCTGAAAGTATCAATAAAAATGAAATATTTTACTTGCTAGCGATGTATTTACAAATAATTAAGCTTAAAAAAGAAATGTACATCTGTAAGCTACTGTCGACTGAATCCCAGCCACTTGAATAGGTTTTATTGTAATTCTAGTCATAAATGAATTATCACATAGGCTTTCGAATATTATTAACTGAATATTAACCTCGCTAACTTTGTTGTTTTAAAGTGTCCCTCTGTACTCACTACTTTTAAAAGTAGTTTTGTTATAATGATTTTGTTAAAATTATAATTTGTAATTAATCGTAAATAATTGACTGCATTCTACCGATGAGTAGTTCAGTTTTTGAATTAATTTTATAATACATTTGATGGAATTCAGTTTAATTTTAATTGGTCTCTTACATCTTGCAGGTTTATTATATGAATATTTCAACATTTGGATGGGAAAATAGATGTAACAATACATACCTCTTAGTTATTGATAATTATATGATGTTAACTTATTAGTTTTACTTAATTATAACACTCATCAGTATCCAGATATGAAATGTTCTATGCCACTTGTTAACATTTCATTTTATTATTGATATTCAACTACTTAATTATGGAAAATAGATTCGGTTATTATTTTAATTCGATTATTTATAATATATCTATACATTTCGAGAGATTGGAGCATTTGTATCAGAGAAACATCATTCTAAAATGATCTTAACTTATGACTAGTTCTAAAATCATATATAAATATCAGTAATATTGTGTACTTGTGGTGTGTGCTGCTAATGTTTAAGTGTTTTTTAACTGATCATTTCAAAGTAAAATCACAAAGCTTGAAGGGATGTAGATACGTATTTTTAAAACATTCGATCGTACTTGGTGGGAATTTTTAATTACTATTTTTATGGGTAAAGGAAGCAAATATTTGTAAAAAATTGACTTAAATGTTAAGTCGTGTTATACAGAAGGATAAACATTCTATGATACAAGTCATTTATATTAATATATCTGGTCATCTACTCTATTTGTTATATCACTCTGTTAGATCTAATAATATTGAAAAATTCACTAAACAGATGAACAATTCTTAAAGCGTTGTTACGATCATTTCTACGCTCTAAATATGAAGCCGATAACGAATGGATTATTTGACCGAATGAAGTTATAAAGTTACAATTTTTGTTTCTTGAACGATTATACTTTTGAACATGAAGTAAAAATACTTATTTAATTATGTTTTCATACCATGGTATTCAGTGCAAGCGCAATGCAACTGAGTGAGATGTCAGAAACAAATTTGTTCAGTGAATTCTTTTTATCACAACGGAATGATGATCGAGTATGGAAAGGTAATCTTGAAGTTTCAAGTCATCTCAAACAATAGCTTATAAGTTACTGATAAAGTTTTACCAAAATAATCAATGTATTTGATATTTGTCATCAGCTTGTCTGGCGTCTACGCAATAACATTTATAGTAAGATGATTTTTTTGTATCTGACACTTCTAGAGGTCAGTGATTTTAGAAATTTAGCATATCTCAATCTTTACCCAAACAATTTAAATACTGGTAAAGATGTTTTTGTTATATCCTAGCGAAGATTAATTTACGAGTAACTTCTGAGACCTATTAATGGACTAATATCATCTACATATTCTTATGGTATAATTATTCATTAATTAGATTATATATATATTCCCCTTATTGTAAGCTTCATTTCGATCTAAAGATTATTATTATACGATTTACTGTTCTTAAGTGCAGTTTATTAATTACAGTCTCCCACGTGACAATTTCTTCACCTGAAATTCAATGATATACAACTTATATGAATGTCAATGGTCGTCTATATCTTGCATATATAAAAAGAAATAATCTCAGTAAGAAAATAATAACGATCAATCATTTCTCAATATAAAGTGAACTATAAGCTAAGAATAACAATAGGAAACATGTTAAGTTAAGGAATTTGTATAGTACAAAACTATTGCCTTCTGTTTATCAAATTAGACAAACTCTATATACAATGATCGTTTTGCTCCCATATTGAACTAGTCATTAATGGTTATCTATGGCACTAGAGAAGGCTAAAGCTAAGTCCTCAACATGATATCACCTGATATAATAAAATAAGTTTAAATCCGAAAATTTTTAACAATTTATAAATTTACAATTCATTGCAATTACCTTAGATTAGGTTCATTTCTTTGATTTGATGCGAAATTCCTTTTGACGGCAAATGGATTTCTTTCATATGTACTTTCAATCTGAAGAGAATCATAAGTTAACGAATAATTATTGGCATTTTCTTTTTTGATGGTGAAAGCAAAATTATAATGATGATAAATTGTACTTTAAATTTATCTCCCCTTTTTTGTTGTACGTGATAAATGTCGGATATGTCAAAAGTGTTTTTTTTTTAAAAAATAAGTAATATATAATCTCTACGTATAACTTTGATAACATTTAATCTAGAGTAAAGTAATGATATTTATCTTATTAATCAATCGATAAAATCATATACTTCTATTTTAAAAGTAATAAATGACACTGATGTACACCGCTTCTTTCCGAAAAAAAAAACATTGTGCATTTAATATTGGTTATTAATTTATATAAACTTATACGAAAAGATTACTTATTAAAATGTAACATACAATCAGTATGTCTTAAAATGCATAAATATGAAACTACCATTTACAGCAAAACGTAAATAGTATAACAGAAATTTGTAGTTATTCACTGCTGAAGCAGCCTGTCATCAATAATATTTTCTTAAAAATTTGTTTAATCAGTTCATTATCTACATTGAAAATTCTGCAGTGAAATTATCAGTTGACTAAATCCCCTATAAATCTGAGTTAAGATTCCAGAGAGTTTAAGGGATATAAGAATAAAACTAATAAAAATCATATAAGCAAATTATTATATGATGCCAAAACAAATCAAAGATACATCTTCGTGGTAATTCAAAATAAATAAACAAAAATGAAAGCACATTTTAAAAATTTCGAAGAAAATCCTTGTTTTCGATGTAAATCTATGAAAAGTTTCGTCATCAAACAATCAAAGATTTCATTTTGAAAAGAGCAAGAACAACGATTCTAGCAGAATAGCATGAATTCATTTTTATTTCGTAGGTTCTCGTCAAACTCCGCCTGGAGCCCCTTTCCGGGGGCTACTGCCGGTCCCAAGCCCGGATAAAGGAGGAGGGTTGGGCATGGGGTTAGCGACCCCATCCCGTAGAAAACTAACTCGCTAAAAAAACGCTAACCAGAAAGAATTATTCAAACCATTTAAACTCTGCCCTGGGAGTCAGGAGGTCTTCGTTTAGAAGAATTATGACGCCTCATGATGAAAGCCGAGTTTCTTCGGAAGTCACGAGGCCGATGCCCCTTCTGACAACCAGAGCAACCACTTATTTAGGTACATGGAATGCTCGCACAATGTGGGAGACTGGGAGAGTTTTCCAAATTGCTGCAGAAATGAGGAGATACAATTTAGAGGTGCTTGGGATCAGTGAAACACATTGGACGCAAGTTGGACAACAACGACTAGCTTCAGGGGAGCTGCTGTTATACTCCGGACATGAACAAGAAAATGCCCCACATACACAAGGAGTTGCATTGATGCTGTCCAAACAAGCACAAAATGCACTTATAGGATGGGAATCTCATGGAGCAAGGATCATCAAAGCCTCCTTCAAAACCAAGAAAACGGGGATTACAATGAACGTCATCCAATGCTACGCGCCTACCAACGACTACAATGAAGATGCTAAAGATCAATTCTACGATAGGCTGCAGTCAATCGTCGAGAAGTGCCCAACTAAAGACCTGACTATTCTGATGGGAGACCTAAATGCCAAGGTTGGAATTGACAACACCGGATATGAAGAGATCATGGGACGACATGGACTGGGAGAAAGGAACGAAAATGGTGAGAGATTTGCAAACCTATGTGCCTTCAATAAACTGGTCATAGGCGGGACTATATTCCCACATAAACGCATACACAAAACCACATGGACTTCACCGGATCACAGCACACAGAACCAAATCGACCATATCTGCATCAACAAAAAGTTCAGGAGGACGATGGAGGACGTGAGAACAAAGAGAGGAGCTGATGTAGCATCAGATCATCACTTGCTGGTCGCCAAGATGAAATTGAAACTCAAGAGGCACTGGACAACGGGGAGGACAATATCCCAAAAGTTTAATACGGCTCTTCTTCGGGATAATGACAAACTCAAT